CGCAGTGAGCGGCGCAGATTCTGCAGCGTCGAGCAGGGCTCATAACCTGTTGAACCCGGGGGCGAAGGCCTCTCCCACGGGTGGCAACGACAGCGGATAGCCTGCAACTCACCTAGAAGGGTTGTTGGTTGTAAGAGGCTTGTTAGAGCAATGAGAGGAGATGTTCGAGTGAACTGAACTGTAGATTGGGGGTACAGAGGTCCCCTATATATACTACTGTACATCTGTGGCTACGTAGTACTATACAGTACATTCCCAGGATGCACAGTCGCACAGAGAAGCAGTGCGTACACAGCGAAGCTGTGTGTGTACCACATGAGTAGTACAGCCTCGGTTATTGCAGTAACCGGCTGTGCCGTTCCATATCTTGTGACGGCTGTGTTAGGCAAGCTGTGTAAACCAGCGCCTGTTCAACAATCGCAAGCGCGCAACGATGACAGCGGGTGGCAGCCGCATCGCGCACTGAGGGCGCCCTCCGACTTTGTCGGACTACCCCAATGGGGCGTGGGTATGTCACACAGGTCACCGAGCGGGGAGTCACGGGGGTGGATCCACCAGACGTTCAGGAGCCCGGATGCTTCCGGTTTTTCGCATCCGATTCAGGCTCCGAACGTCTGGTCACGAGACTAAGTCTGACCCAGCCGAGCACATGTCTGCGTCCAACTGGTGTACTTTACACCTATTTAACCATTCCAATGCGTTATTCACCGTATGATACCGCTGATGTAATTCACTGTCATTTACCCCTGTAAATCTCGAGCTCGCCGGGACCCAGCGCTATTTAGCCCGTCAATCTCACCGGCGGACCTATGTCATCGCGCCCTACCTCCGATTCGCTTGCAAGGCTCTCTCCCTCGACGTTACTGGTCTCCTCTCTGAGAGATACTATGGCCCAATATGAGGCGTGATGCATGATACATGATGCTTGACCAACGTCGGGAGCTGAGCCTCTCTGCATGATCTGACTCGGATTGTCAATCCCGGCACAGCCTCCGGTACTGCGCTCACCCACTCACCGACGACAAGTGCTTTTCTATCAGTCCATGCTCGCCATGACCGACCCTGCAGACTCCCCGCATTCCTCGCCTTCCGCTTCATCCACGTCGCAGTCTCCGGCGCTTCCATGGGAGGTCATCGAAAGGGCCATCGATCTCTGCGCAGGCGACAAGGCCACACTGTGCGCTTTCGCTCTGACCTGCAGCCAGCTTCATCCTCGTAGCCTCTTCGTTCTCTTCACCAATGTCGACATACAGAGCCAGGAACAGCTCAAGAGGTTCTACGATGCTGTCCAAGCTCAGCCGCAACTTCAGCCTGTCGTGCAATTGCTGTCATTTCCGTGGGACGACTTCTCTCCATTCCCCCTGCTGTCTATCCTCCCCGGTCTCCGTCATGTCGCATTTGATAGGATCTCTTCAGTCAATACGCGCGATAGACAACTCGGCGGCAGGCCACTCGCGGCAGGCCTCCGGAGCTTGACGATTCGCGGCGCCTCGTTCCCCACGCAATCAGCTTTCCTCAAGTTCATCTCAGCATTTCCAAACATCGAAAATCTCACCTGCGAGCTGGATCTGTACTTGCATGAAGATACCCCAATGATGCAAGATATGTCGTCCCGTCGATTGCAGCTGCGAACACTGAATGTGAGGGTCAACAGCGTCATCTGCGCTCCTCGATCGTGACTCTACGTTTCCTTTTAGATACTTCGAGATGTGGACGAACATCTCACAAAGCTGCTATTTCTGCTAGCTCAACTGGAGGCCGCTCGCCCGCTTGCGATCGGGGACCGTCCCCGTACGTATTTCATACCGTATCCTAGTCACATAACTCAAATCAGAACGATCAGGCAAGGACGGCCCGACCTCCTTGACATGGTGGATACCGGCCGATTCCGAGAAGCTCCAATATGCCTTCTACGCCTTACAGTATTTGGATCAAGCAGCGATAAGAGACGTCACTCTAGTTCTCTGGTACTACGACGTTGGACGTCTGTACGGGAGATGCCACCGACCTGCCAAGCTGAAGCTCTGCACACTATTGAAGGATGTCCTGCTCAGGTATCCCACCCATCGCGTACTATTGACGGCTCTTGGCGGCCCAGTGCTGAATGTCCGGAAGACGATCTCGTGGTCGGACGAGTTCAGCAGGTTGTTCCGTCCACTAGGCGATAAATGGGCGCTGACGGAAGACGTTAGATACTGTGAGTATTGTTCACTAACCACGATTCTTCAGAGTTTGATGTTGACTGGAGTAGCTGGTAAATCTGGGCATGACTCACATGTCAACGCGCTTGTCGTCTCCTCAGATGGGCGGTGGGTAGCGACGGCCTCCGGCGATTCCACGATCATCCTCTGGGATGCCCGAAATGCGTGCATATCGCAAGAGTGGTTCGCCCACGACAACAGAAAGGTCTGGAACCTCGCATTCTCACCGGACGGTCAACAACTCGCGTCCGCAGGTGGAGACGGGAAGGTGGCGATCTGGGACATCAGCGGCAGCTCGCACCAAGTCACCACCGTCAAGGCCCAGGGTCGCACTGGACGCACTCGTCGCACTCCTTCCATGTTCCCAGAATTCGCGTGGTCCAGTGATGGTGCTTACATCGCATTCCGAGACCACGACTACACCATGCAACTTTGGGATGGGCGAACATTCCAGGCCCTTGACAACCTCAAACAAACACGTGTCGAGCCGCTGTTCTCCCATGACAGCCGCTGGCTTCTGGTTTACGGTTGGGACAGTCTTCACGTTTGGGACGTGGCGTCTGGTGCATGCGCGGCACTCCAATTCCAGCCAGATGGCGAGAACGGCATTCCTCTCAGAGCCGCATTCAATCGCTGGAGCACGCACGTCGCTGTTGGATATGAAGATGGGAAGATTCGCGTATGGGACCTAGCGACTAGACAGGGGCCTCTGCTCTGGAAGGCGCACAACTATGAGGTCAAGGTTATGGTGTTTTCCCCGGACGATCTGCTGCTGCTCTCAGCCTCGACAGGCGAGACAGTGAAGATATGGAATGCGCGCACTGGTGACATGGTCCAGTCGTTCGAAGGACACGAATCAAGGGTCAACATGGCACGCTTCTCCCCGTGTGGGAAGTTTGTCGCCTCCGCATCTGACGACAAGACGGTGAGGGTGTGGAGGACGAACAACGCATCGTGCTTGGCGACGCTCTCCGACCACGGTGACGAGGTCACGCATGTTGCGTTTACTCCTGACGGGACAATGTTGTGGTCTGCAGCGTGCAATGGAACTGTCTTGGGTCGTCGGCTACAGGACATCATTCCGGATGACATCATTTCATAGACTGAGTCGTATAGTAGACCAAATATCCCGGTTCCGCTATGTATATCATACGTCAGCATCAGAATGTATATGTATTAACCGGCAGTCCGGCCTCGATCTAATACAACTGTCATCCCTGTGCACCTTTGTTCTGTGTCCTTGTATGTGCTGAGCCATACATCATCCCTCGCCACTGCCACTCAAGTCCCGACGGATTCCACCAGCTTGCTGCCAACTCATTCTATAGAAGTACGTCAGGAGTGGAAACTCCCCACGGACGCATCGTGGAAATCACGAGACATCCAACCAATATTTCCTTCTCGAATATTCGCAACGCTGCCATGGAAAGACGAAAATGGCCCTCTTCGGTTCACTCCCCAGTTCCAAGGCGAGGGGTTAACGATGTCGCGGGGGCGATGCAGGTTTCTGGTAGCCTAGGCATAAGTTGGGGACCGATACGACGGTAGCGCTGGGAAGCCACGGCACGAGTATTGTAAAAGGTATTGAGTAGGTGAGGACGACTCGGCAGGGGGGAGATGAGAATGCAGTCAACTGATTACTCGCCTTGCACTTCATCGACCATGCATGCCCTCCAGCCCTCGGGGATGTCAGCTGTGTAGCTGCATGCTGACTGCAAGTTAGCAGAGGGAGACGACATAACTTGCGGTGGGAGGCCGTGTTGGATGATACAACGCTTCGCACGACGGTGAAGGCACCAATACAGTCCTGAGTCAGGCGGCGGCGGACGCGGAGCAGCTGCAAGTCAAATGCGAACACCGGTATTATCCGAGTGTCCGGTCCGGTAGCGGTCCGCCTCCGTGCGACAACCCATGGCAATCAGACAAGAACTTCGCTTTCGTGCACACCCATCCTCACACTAGCTCGTATACTCAGGCTCGAATTCTCTCTCCCCATCCCGCATGTCCGTGGCGACCGGTAAATGCTCCGGTGCGTTACTTGACTGCGTAGAGGAACATGTTGATGCTCTCTGTCCAATATAACTTGAATGGCGTCCACATCGCTCGGTCGTAATCCCTCCGCTTTGAACACCACAAGGCTCTCGTTTTGGCTTCACGCAATCACGCCCTACACATTTTCACTTTCATCTCTGCATCTCTTCAACTAGCTGTCGCTTACCGGGCATGGAGGCGACTGCCGCGAGGGACGATGTCCGAACGTAGCAAGAGCAAGGTGAGTCTCGTGCATATAGCCTCCTGACGTAGTCCTAAACGCAGTCGCTTCTACACTACCCAACGAGGAGACACTTCTCCCTACCCAACTTTTAATGCTCTTGGAGATGCCTCTTGGATTGGAAGGGGCTCATCAACTTGGGATATCCTCTAGCATTTCCGTAGCTTCTGTACCTCGACAGTGCTACTGCACATAGGTCCCGCCGTACAGTGCCCTCGTGTCGACATCTTATTCCGCTCTGCTTTCCGAGGTATGTCACAGGCGTCGTATCTTTTCAAGAATCTAAAACACTCACCATATATATCTCAATTCTCATTCGCACAATTGCTACAACTTTTCACGTCCTTAACGCTAGCTTGAGGCGGCGACACCATTCCCGCCATCATGACTCCCTACGACCTCCGCTCTCTCAACATCCCCTTGCTCAACGAGTCCTACCCCCACCTTTGGCGCGCGGCTTCTATGGAGAAGGAAGCTATGGAACCAAGTGCGAACCTGTTGGTATTTGGAGATGTGAACGTGATCATTGCCACGTGTAGGCAGCGTACGACGACGATCCACAGGCCGTAATCGTCGATCTGTAGAGGGAGCGCAGCAGGTGAGACTAGTGATTCCTCGTCCCTCCATTTCATTCACCTTCGCCCTGCCATCCTGCGCGTTCCCATCTTATCCCCTCTGTCACATCTTCCGGTCTCTATACGTGACGAGTCGCTGTCTTTTGCGTTTGCCATTGGGCTGAACATGACCACGAAGCGGGACGTGGAGCGATTTGAACGGAGCATTGCGCGTCTCCCCACCGGGACCTTCGCTATCCTGTGTGCCCGACCGCGGTCTTGATCGTACACCGGGGCTTACACCTTCTTCCCATGTGATCGATCCGTAGCGCCCAGTGTGTTTTGCAGCGCGCAAAACAACATGTGGACCCTGTCTGTCCAGACCTACCATCCTGGCTTCTGCATCTTGACCCTCTAGTCACCCCTGCCCCTCTCCGTGCGACCTTCAATCCAGATGACTGCGACTTTGCTACGTGGCGCCAGCGACTGGAGCGCAACAATCTTACTAGCTTGTGCATGTGCCTATGTACAGTGCACCCGAAAAGCGCCAATGGCAGATGTGAAAGGAGGGGTCAAGTTACAAGCACGCATCAAGGTGGGGCGAGGAGTGGGTTTGTGGCTATCTGCGCCTAGTGTATCTCGCATCTGGACATTTTAGGTGAGAGGCTGCTGCGTCCGTGCCCAGGGAGCGGCGCACCGCGCAAAGTGAAACGGAGAACTCGGAGTGAGCAGGATATTAACAGGGAGACTTGAGCGTGGCTTAGCTACACGGTTCACTTCAGCCATGTTGTCTGTAACGCCGAGCCTCAAAACTTCGCATTCTCTTGCCAGCTTGGCCGCAGAAAGGCTGGACAAGCGCTTGTCTATAGACACAGTCCTGCGACATCTCCCATAGCTCGAGACCCTGAGTAATATCTCAGGCACCTTGTTTGCTATTCTCCCCGAGCGTCTCCCGCCGAGCTTAAATTGTCTAGAACTGTCCCCTGGCTAGTCTGGACCGCGAAAACTTCCATCAGCGACGCCCTGATGGAGTATATCGTGCGAGTGGCAGGCCAAGGCTTCCTCTGGTGGATATTGCGCTTCTAGGCCCAAGCGATAGTGAGCAGGACCTCAATAACGGTAGGTTCTGAGGCTTGCAATTGCATGAATTGTCGCTTTTCGGTAAGCACGGTGTTCGGTATTGAATGGGTGGATATTCATTCTTCTGATCACAGACAAACATGAGGAGACCAACTACTGTAGAGCTCGGAGCATCGGATGCTGACGATTCGTTGACGTGACGTAACAGGTAGCTTATATGCGGACTCCCTGGTCCCCTCGGCCTGGCCCCGGGGTCAGAAGGTTTCGACGGGTCGAGACCACCTCAGGTTGAAATCCGGAGGGAATGGACGCGTTCAACGTTCGGCAAGTCTAAGCGTCTCGATATGCAAGAATATGGTGAGAACCGGGCATATACGAGTGAACTGGGCTGTATACAGTCACATCGATGGCATAATAGAGGTACGAAGGTCCGACTTTGATGCTGTTTTCCTGGTTTCGATATATATCGCTTATTCTCAATCGACCTAGTCGTCATGCTATCTGTGTTCAGAGCGCGATATCTTACACGGTAAAACAGCAGAAACACTCATAGCATTGTCGTATTGTCTCCACATTGTCGCCTCAGCCCCAACATTACACGTCTCTGTGATGTGATCTGGCGTAAGCTATGAATTCCCAATATAGATGGTCAGTTCATGTCCCACCGTGTTCCAATGTTTGCATTATATTCAAATTGACGTACCATGACATGCTCATTCAGGCATCAGGATAGAGGCTGTTCCTGGAGTGGCGCAGAAACCGAAGTTGAGGGATGTGTTGCAAGCAAACCACTCGCCACAGGTACCTTGACAGTCGCTGCCGGTGCAGAAGCCGATGTTGTTCGTTGCCGAGAGGCAAACCACGTTAGGTGTACTGAGACACACTGCTGCACCGGTGTACACGGTGCACGGACCGCCACAAACATCGTCCACGCGGTTAACACAGTAGGTGACGGTGGTGCTTGGCTCTGCGAGGGGGGTAAGCGGATTGATCGCTGTGCCGGCGAAGGTGAGCTCGGCGTCGGTCGTGGCGATCCAGTGCATCATCTGCTCGTGGGACACGACGTACGCCGCAGGCTACAACATGTGGATCATGGTTAGTTCGTGGCCCGCACTTGCGGCAAGGAATCGGCCGAGCTAGCTCGATTCACCTCATCAGAGGGGGCACTGAGCTCCTAGGAACTTGTATCAGCAATCAACGCCAAAAGATGGATGAATCGGAGAATGCTATTCACTGCAGCGAGGGGCGTAGTCTTTGCCCCACTTGCCAGGACAAGTACAATAAATACGAAGGGAGCGGACTTGACTGAGAACTGCATGGTAAACGTCAAACAGCTGGTGCTTGTGAGTGAACCGAGTCAGGAGTGGTCGGATTGGGGGATGAAGGTAAAGACACAACTTCCACCTTTGATATAGCGAGGCAAGGTCATATTGGTCATCTCCCAAGTGACTCCGTTGTACGGCGAGTACTCCTCACTTCTTTTTTGTTCGGGAGCACTTCCTTGCTGTCCGACTGGATTGCGGCCGGTCGATGGCCCCGCTGCGTTGAACACGTCGGTGGTCTGAGCGGGCTATCATTTTACCCAAGGGGCTGCATCTGTCATATTGGCTGCATGGCATCTCAGCCGAACGACTCCACGAATACCAATGATACTTTGCTAGCCGGCAAGTGGCGCATAAGATGCGGTTCCGACCCGTGATCGTGCCGAATGATGTGCAGTACTCTCATATAACTCAAATACCTCCGTCTTCTGTCAGCGAACCTGTCCGGCACCAAGAATCTTGAACTCACCATGATACTATGAATGACTCGATCACCCTTCGTTGCGAATGCCGTGCTCTCAGTCAAGCTTCTGCCTTCGAAAAGGGAAAACCTGATCTTTCGAGTCTTCTCCTCACCAATGATGTCATAAGTTGGTGACTGGGACTTTATGTGCTATATATACCTTTTCGAAGTGGTCGGTAAATGATATAGTGCGCTTTTGGACTGATGATAGTATAGCCTGGCTCAGCCCGGGGCGCTCAACTGCCTTGAGAAATATTGCACTGATTAGCTACCGGTCAGTGCTTAAGGCACTGACATATGCAATCCATACCAGATACACACTACCTGCTCCTGTGGTAGTGGGGCCTCGACCGATAACCGCTGCTTTCATCTTCACATAGCTTGATGGGGCTCTTGACTAGCAATATGGCAGAAAACCGCTGCATGATCCTTGACCTGGTGTTATTCTTCATGATCAGGCAAATCTCTCTCTCTCTTCCTCTTCTAGGAAATCTGGATCGTGGTGAGTAATCACCAGTACTACAGGACACTTTGTCGCGAAGGAACCAGGCTGCGATGCAGGGACCTCCGGAGAGTGTTAGAGAATCCTTAGTGCCGACTCCTCAGATCCGCATCTTGGAGACAATCAGTCTAATACTCAGCTATATCCGGACACCTGACAGCGTATGGTTTTCGCATAAGCTTACAGCTGTGCTCTCAGGGACGATAGCAGTTGATTTCGGAGTTACTGTCCTAACCTGGCCGGTGACGACCATACTGTGAAGGACGCATTCGGTCGAGCATGTTACATAATGCATGAGACTTTCGACAGTCAGAGGAGTTTTATTGCAAGATTTAACTTTGCGGGATCAAGGCACGGCCCGGGTATCCGCCTGAAGTCTTGGAAAATACCTCTTCAACTTGCAAACGTCCGGCCAGCGTTCCAGTTCCAGTCAGACCTACTAGGATGTTGAAGGTGAGGATTCCTCCGGGCAGTAGTTGCTGTCCTCCACTGTCGAGACTCCAAGTTGGACTCGGCGCTGAAGTGGCACGGCCGCCTGGGAAGTGCTTGGGCCCGGGGATCGCCGGCGGCACTTTCATCGGAATGCACATCATAATGCTTGCCACGATCCTAGGACAACTTCCTAGTACCTACCCTCATCTCTCTCTCTACAGCTACATTGACATTTCTGAGGACATTATGACTCAACCGGCAACTCCTCAACTCCCGATTGAAGTCTGGCAGCTAGTAATGGACACCGTCCGCCGCGCGACCAACTACGAGACCTTCTACTCCGATCACGTCAACTATCGCTCCTGGGCACTCGTCTCGCGTGCATGGGGGACGTGTGCCCAGACTGTCCTCTTCCATACCACTGAGCTCCTGGACAAGGAGCGATTGCACCGGTTCATTGCCCTGCTCGATGACGCGCCACACCTCGCGCCCTACGTGAAGACCCTCCGGCTCTACAGCCGGCATATGCACATCATAGACAACGTCTTTGGCTTGCTTCCACTCATACCAAAGGACCGTCTCCCCAAACTCACGTCCATTCTCCTTACGCGCATTACGGAGCAGGATACATGGCACCCTCAGGTCTGGGACTCGCGGATATCCTGCACTTTCCATCACAACTGGCGACACATTTCCCAAGTGTGTCCCAGCTTTACCTCTCGTATGTTACGTTTCAGACGTTTAGCGACCTTACGCGGGTGTTGGACGCGTTCGCGAACCTGCGAGTGCTGTCGTGCCTGGACGTGCGGTGGTGCGAGCTCGGGGCGCTTCCAGAGTGCTTGGCGGGGACAGAGGTGTTCCTGCCCAAGTTGGAAGACCTTACAGTACGCGTGCCCTTGCTATTGCTCGATGTATATGGCTCACCACTCTCTCGACCATGCAGATACTATACATGGGTCTCCACGAAGTCGAACGCCTCCTCTCCGCACTCGGGCGCTCTTCCTCCCTCAAGGAGCTCTACGTCGACTGCCCGCACTACCACCCCTTCACCATCTAGACCGACCCTCGTACGCGCTCTTCCTAGCACACAATCTAACGTACTCCTAACGCACGTTGAAAAGCAACGTCAGCAGACCCGGCAACAGGCACGCCCTAGGCATTGATCTCCGGCCGTTCTCGCACCTCGCCGTGCTCTGGCTCGCGCTTCCGTACACGCGCGCTGTGTGCAGGGACCTCCCGGACATTGTCACGTCTCTGCTCCGGATGTGGGACCCCACGAAGGTGAGCGTGGATCGGAGAAAGCTGATATTGACCTCGTCATACGAGTCGGACTTCACGAGGAAGGAGTTCGCGGACTTGCTGAGGGTGCTCGGGCCGATTGTTGAGGACGTCCTGTGCCCCGATTGTACAAAGAACAAAGGCAATGGAGACATGGAGGAGGAAGGGCCACAGAGCGAGGTCGGTGTCGCGATCGAGGTGTGCGTCGTGGACAAGCAGGCGAAGTACGAGTGGTGGCGTGCGGAAGCGTGTACGGGCTTCACACGTGCGCGCGGGAGGTTGGAAGTCAATTTCGAGAAATGTGAGTCTCTGCCCACGCTGATCCGTTGTCGTGTTCGAATCTTTATGACATACAGTAACGTTTCACTCTGTTCTTTTTTTGTCTGACGGTTCGTTTGGAGAGAGTCGAGAGTGTTGCAAACTGACTGATTAGCCTTGAATATTGCAGCGTTCTGGCCGGAGGCACACTGGGAAGACTATGACGATCTAGAGGGGAATCCCGCAACGCCTCACATAGTGACTTCGTGGAACGGTGCTGGGAGCGCGCCTGGGGAGGACACGGTGCAGGCCCTCGACGGGAGCGAGTTGGAGGCTCTACACGAGAGTGCGGTGTCCTCCGGTGTTCTGGCTAGGGGCCGATCGTCCCGGAGAAATAAGCACCTGCAGCCCTTCAAGGTATGTGCACGTATACCCCTGGATTCATTCGCTATCACATCAAGAGACTGATCAAGCGGATGAATCACCAAGCGGGTGTTGAGCGTAGTGCGACGAAGCTTCTTGCGGCTCAGACTGGTTCGCGTGCCGTGGTGTAGGAGAGCCATGGTGCCCATGCCCAGGACACTTTCGGGCACTTAAGCTCGTTGCTTCGCTACTTGTCAGGAGGTCAACGACACCCCTCAGTCGCGCACACACTCACGTGAGTAAACAATTTGCTATACTCCTTGCTATTCGTCTGATGCCGACGGCTGTTGCCTAGTAGTCGTACCACTTCGTCGACCATTTGGAACCCTTCATGTATGATCTTTTGGTTGTGTAGCCCCCAATCTTTTGCAACTCCCCGAACGTCCCGCCCAAGTCACCTTGAGCTCCCGCTCCGGCGTACCCCAGATTCTCCTGAAGAATGACTAATGCATAGACATGTGAGTGAGCTGAGAGACACATCGAATCCGGCAGCATTCTCAGGCGCTATCTCCGAGTCAACAACTCTAGGGCCGTGGTAGAAGGCTAAGTGGGACTCACCACGTCCACGCTCCAGCCACCCGATGGCACCGCTATGACATGCTCAATGCGGATATGTTCAGCTTGCTTTCTGCCACACATATTTATGATATCAACCAAGATACGAACAAGTGCGAAACTCCGGGGCGACGAGACTTTGAGTACGTACAGGCTGCCAAGGCCGCCCAAACCTAAACCGGGTGGACCCGCTAGGCTGACCCGCGTCTTTCCGTTACGACCGCCCAGTCGTTTGCGATAAGACCTCTATTAGCCGTGGCAAGCTCTAGTCATAACCCGTCCTCATCGCCCTCACTTGACTTTCTACATTCGCGAGATATGATTGAGTGTGGAGTCAAATGGAAGACGGATTGGCATCAGGTTTTGCGCACCCCTTACCTTTCTCTTCTTAATCTGTGTTGTGCTATATCTGCGGCCTCGAGGCTGGGCTGATTAGACTCGGTGCGGTCGCGTTTATTCAAGCTTACAATTTTTCACTTGCTTGCTGATCAATGTCCCAACCGTGATGGACGCTTGTGGGGCTCTAAGCTTGCTAAGCCCTCCCCGACGCTCAGTATCTAGATAACATGCCTATTTTCGACTACATGTACTAGCACCCGACGCGTGCGACGCGGCGTCCCTTCCGGCAGCAGGGTGATTTGCAACGGGCTCGGTCTCCGACCATCCATATCATATCGCACCGTCAGGTGGTCGATACAGAGACCGCCATGGGCGTGCCGGTCTGTCACAGGCTCGCATGCAGTTTTACTCATTCTGCGAGCGGAGTTGTGATGGGCGAAGGTCAGACAATGGCCGGCAGTAAATGGCGGCCCGAATTGCCGGCAGCCGCGATGCCGGCGACAGGCGGCCTTAATGCGTGCCCGATACTATGTAGCTGCTTCCTAAGCTCATGTCCGTCGTACTTAAGACCATCGCTGTTGCTTGGCCTATCACTAGACGCTGTCTCGTCCCAGCTACTCACAATTCTCATTCTCTACTAGCTCGTCATAAGCACAAGATGTCCGCTGCCCCGCTGCCCCCCTTCAATCGCGAGGCGAAGGCAAAACTCACGGAGAACCCGAACCCGACGTTTGAATACGGACAAAAGGTCGAGGCGACGGAAGACGGAGAAAGATGGTTAGAAGGCGAGAAGGCCGGTTGGACTGTGATCGACACCTCGAAAGAGGAGGCAAGGTCGGTGGACCGACTATGACCAGCACAGATCGTTGAACACTTACTTATCGCCTCTCTTATCCTGATAGGAAGATCGTGAGATCCCCTCAATCTTGAAGACAGCTGGGGCTGTTTACTGACCCTACGCGTACAGTACACACTCATGATCAGCGGCATCGTCCCCCGTCCTATCGCCTTCGTATCCTCGCTCTCAGAAGATGGCACTGCGAACCTTGCACCGTTCAGGTAAAGATATCCCACGTGTCTGTTTACCTCGATTATCCATCCTCTGACATTGTCTTTACTCACGCAGTTGGTTCAACCAGGTCACCCACTCGCCACCGCTTATCTCGGTGTCCATCTCCCAGCCCACGAGCGGCCCGAAGGACACGGCGCATAACATCAAGACTACGAAGCAGTTCACCGTAAATATCATCAGCGAGCCGTTCATCGAGAATGCGAACATCACTTCGCTCGACTCCCCCGCGAACGTTAGCGAGTGGGAGATCTCCGGTCTAACTAAGGAGCCGAGCGTAAGGCTAGAAATACTGCATCGCAGGGTCGCTCGCTCACTCAATATCCGTGTTGGTATAGATTCATGTCAAGGCTCCGCGAGTCAAGGAGAGCGCGTTCAGTATGGAATGCGAGGTACACGTTGCTGCAACTCACGATATTTCCAGTACTCTCATACAATACATTGTGTTTCGCAGCTATTCCAAGCGGTAGATATTACCCACCCTGACACCGGCAAGCAGACCGGCACACTGATCCTCGGCCTCGTCAAGTACATTCACCTCCGGAACGACGTCCTGAACGAGCGCGGGACCGTCGATTTTGCGAAGCTCAAGCCCATTGGTCGCCTCGGTGATATTTCCTACGCACGCGTGGGCGATGCGTTCCGTCTCCCACGTCCGGAGTGGGCTGTCGAGGGCGAGAAGATCAAGGAGTTTCTCAAGACGACGCAGTAGATTATGAGATCAAAGCCTAGCGAAGGCGTCTTTCGCTTTGTATTGTACACTTTGTTTGTTGTTCGTGACATATATGCAGGCTGAGCGATCATGGAAGCCTTCGTGCATGCGGCTAGCGCGCTGGTTCGCAGCGCGCTGGTAGCCTCCAGCGTCCCATTAATTCTGACGGCGATTCAACCAAGTTCGTCCGTGTTCACACCACGTAACGTCCCAATTCGTCTCACACCGACCGTATATCCCATCCGCGCATTGTACCGCACCATCGAAAACATAAAAATTAGTCTTCCGCCGGCACAGAAAGCCGTTGATGGTCTCATCACGACGTCTATAGTCTCAGACAGTGTCCTGTCATAGCAGGTGCACATGCCGTCTATAAGGCATCAGGACCGCGATGCTCGCCGGCCGATGCACTATGTGAAGACGAGCCTGAGCGGGGACAAACTGGGGAGTCTATGATTGGAAGGGCGTCATAAGCTCTACCGGCGGTGAATGTACGTATTGCAGACTAGGATAGGTCCTATGTACGCTCTTAAGAAGAGTAGCAGGGATGCCCGCTGAGTCAATGGTGCATGTGTTCCCCTCGGGCCCGGAGAGCTCGGGTCTTTGGCTGGTGCAGAAACATATTTGCGGAGGTTTTGCCACGGAGGGAAGAACATTACAGATGCCAGCGTCTTCCAGAAGTAAGGGGAAAGCACTGCTCCATATAGTACGGAGACGATAGGATAAAACCAGGTACGAGGGACCCGGAAGCGAGACAACGGCACTGTATGCGGGGCTGTGACACATGCATGTGGGCACCTACTACTTAGATTAATGGCCTTCCGGATAGTATAGTGAAGCGTACGACCCTGACGCCGAAAATCGGAAAGCAGTCGGTGATATTGATGGCGTAATCGTTGGGCGGCTGAGTGAATCTGACAGCTTCTGACATAAAGTTGGGCTACTAGTGTCTGCTCTACATTACAGAGGAGGTCGTTCAAAACTTCCTTTCGCAAGCCGCTGTTCGGGTACCCATCACAGTCTACATGCTCTGGATCCCTTGCTCCACTTTCCCTGCACGGCTCCAACCTTCTTGGTCGATACTAGGCCAAGCGCAGGGAATGGATCCACTATTGCACGATCAATGCTTCTCGTACCCATCTCTTCAATAAGTCTCGCTGATCCTCCGGAACCGGCAGCGGCTACCGTCTGGATGGGCGATGGGTAGTCAGTGGAGACCGAGGAAGCGACAGGCTGCTGGAAGACAGATGCCACGGTATACGGAGTAACGCCAATGGAGGTGGGAGTGGTCATTTGCGTCCCCCTTTTGCCACTAATCTTGGGATCAAGTCCTCCCTGAACATCAGGTGGCATCCATCCTGGCACTATACGCCTACCCGGCACGACGCGGCCCATGCTCGCGCCATCAGAGGCACGCACGTTCGTAGTGGGGCTATCATCCACACGGGGGGCGTTATGTATACGGGCAGAGCCAGTTGCCCCAGGAAGACTAGCCCGTCTGTCCGAGAGCTCAAGCGCATCGATCCAGGGGTCGCTCGATCCGTTCCAGCGCCGCGCGAGCTTGCCGAGCAAGGTGTCTCGCCCGCCGTCAAGCAAGAAGCGGCGGTTCGTGACGACGACCATACCTGCCTGGCATCGCGTGAGCATGACGTTCATGCGATTCAGGGAACGCAGGAATCCAGGTCCGGTGGTGCGCACAGTCGACACGACAACGTACGCCGCTTCGTGACCTACTGACAAGTCAGAAAATCGAGCGATTATGCCAGACCGCGGGAGCACGTACCCTGGAAGCTGTCGACGTTGTAGACGCCTTCCCAAGGTAGGCCTTCGGCTTTCAGACGCTGAGCGATAGCACCTCGCTGAGCATCATACGGCGTGATGATACAGAACTCCACGTGCTTATAGTAGTTCTTCACAATATTTACGATGGCATGTACCTCCTCAGTATTCTACATCTCAGATTAGCGACGAAGACGAACGAGACAATGCAGCATTTCACCTTCCAACTCAGACCCACACTTTCCTCAGCACCCTTCCGCACGTCAACGAACCGCACGCATGAGTCGTCGTTGATTTTGTGCACGGACTTGAGCTTCGAATTGTACACTTCCTCAGAGATGAACTCTCCCAGAGGCACAGGCATCCGATACTGCGTGTTGAGAAAGTACGCAGTCGGCTTGAAATGCTTAAAGTCGAAGATTGTCTTCATGGATGGCGCGGTCTCCTTTCCATACGGTGGAACTGTGCAAGGCGTCGTTAGTACTGCAGATGAATTGGATGGGTCATGACACTCACGTTGTTTCGGGTCCCCAAACATGCACAACTTGTGCAAGCGGTGGAACTTGTCGAACAAGTGCTTCGGATGGTGGAAGTCAATATTTGCTGCCAGTATGCGGCATGCCCGACTCACCATGAACTCGAACGAGTCTATTTGCGACGCTTCGTCCACGATCAGACACTCAACTGGAGCGAGGCGGTATATGCCGCAGCTATCGAGGCCCGGATTGGACAGCATAGAGACCGTGCATAGGATGATTTTGGAACCCCTGATCATGCGCCCCGCCTCGACCGGGTCGGCGATCAGCTCGTCAGCACGGATCAGCCGCCTTTCGATGCTCTCGTACAGATGCTCGTGCCTAGAGTAATACAGTATGTGTTTCGATACTTCGCGGTGTCAGCCATAGCATGCATTCACTCACCACTCTACATAAAACTCTTTCGATACAATGATTCTGAAGTCGACGTTGTGCTTGATAAGCGTCCTCGCAATGTTCTTCACACCGACGTTGGACTGGGCGATGACCCACGCCGGCTCACCACAACGATCCCATTCTTCGAGAGACACAGCGATTGTCCTCGTCTTCCCTGTCCCGGGAGGCCCTGATCCAACTGTAATCAGCTGCTGCGGTAAGGGTCCAAGAGAGTACTCGGCGCACCATGAACTACGACGACCGGCTCGTCATCCGCCCACATTGCCCGCACCACAGCCTTCTGCGACTCGTTCAAAGCGGCAAGCTGTGGACTGCACGCATCCTCACCATCCCCACTCCCTCTGCCCACCCTCGGCTGAGGCGCAGGGAACCACAGCGCGCGTACGAACGGTGACCGCGTCAATGACGAGATGGCACCTTGCAGGAGTCGTAGGATGAATCCGTCCCGCGCCCTCTCGGCGTGCGTCGGCTCTTCGCGCCCGATAACGCTGATACGTTCAATGCCCCCGCGGAAGTTGCCCCCGTGGACCTTGACGTCTGTCCTCTTGCCCTCCGCCCGGACGGCTTCACCCGTGATCCTGTGTCCGTGCGCGGTCTCTAATATGACTGAAGTCTGTGCCGCGTTGTCAGCTCCGAGTCGAGATGGGATGGGATGGGAACTTGAACGAAACATACCTGTTTGCTCCTCCGGACGCGGTTGCTGTAGCGCTCATTCGTGATGACGAGCTGGCCATCCTCGTCGAGCGTGACGTCCTCGAAGTCGTTCTCTATGTGCGTCGGCCTCTCCGCCTCCAGGAGCACGATGTTCGTCATGAGGTCCGCGAGACATTGCAGATGTACGTCAGGGAGGTTGGTCGTCTCAACCTTCGAGGCCGAGTCCAGAGCGTCCGGGGATGATTCAGCGATGCTGCGACAGAGCACTTGTTAGCGGTGCGAAGGGGCAGGTACGCGACAAGGAAACGTACACGGCGGAAAGCCAAGCCCTGAGGCACACATCCTTCACCTCGTCCCGGTACCATGCTGCGTGAATCCGATGGCGGTTGACATCAGGGTGTACTTTCTTGTACGCGAGTTCCGCGGGTGTGTCCGGCGACCCATCCAACCCGGAGAAAAGAGTGGAAAGGTCGATACCCTGCACATGCACGTTGCATTGCTTGTACAGGTGCAGCGCGACGCGGGCCATATCGAAGGCAGCGAGGTGGCAGTTCACGTTCCCTAACAGACGGGAGAGGCTGTCACCAGTTGCGACACGACGATTCCCTGCCAGAGACGTCTGGTCCCCAAGGGAGACCTGGAAGATGTGGGATGAAGTGGCGAATGCGACGACGTCGACTGTGCCGTCTTTCGGGGACAGCCGCAGAGACACACCGAGCGCATGAACGTCGTTATCGGAGACATGGCTGAGGATGGCCCCAATGTCTCTTGAGCTAACGTTCCTCAAGACAATGGGTTGTCGCGTGATGCCCAAGTGTGGCGGAACGAGGTCCTGACGGATGAAGGAGGACATCTCAGGGATGTGCAGCATGGGTGATAGCGAAAGGGACGAACCTAGGGCTCAGGTCGTCCTTTTCTACCTCGCGCGAGGCATACATGAGGTGGCTTGCTTTGAACCATAACGATTGTCAGCGTCGGAAGCTCACCGCAGAAGGTGAAGGGCGTTCCGCGGGCTGTCAGTGACTCACAAGTTTTCAGCGCTGCTCCACGATGTGTGCCATCGTTTTGGAAGCGTTGCTGCGGTAACTGGGATTGGAGACTGGACCTGCTGCCAGTCTCAAAGTCCTCAACTAGCAGCAACCGCGGCATGGATTCCAGTTCTAGGCCATACGAGATATCGATATCGCTCAGTCCGATTGTGATATTGGAAGACAGTTCGTCTTTGACATCGATGAGTACAAGCGCCTGTACACACAGTACTTCGAGGGTACTGCATCGTCCCTCCCCACCTTCATCCGCTGACACTCCGACTACTTTCTCGGCCCAAGCCACGCCGGTGAATTCGCCAGCATGGGGAACTTCTTTCAATGAGAAAATTTTCTCTGTATGAAACGAATGGCCATTTGGACCCCTCGGAATTATATACAACAGCGGAGCGCTTGCGGAAAAGACACGGATAGTTGGTAGACGAGACATAGCGGCAATAACATACCTCTGGTTCCTTGATAGCATCCCATGCACTACTGGACTCTTGTGTAGCTCCTCTTAATTGCTAATTTAGTCCTTGGTTGCGCCCATTCTCCTGTCGATGCCGAACGCATGAGCGCCCGAAACCCGGCGATGCCCTTGTGGATCACGAAGTTCCTCCCAGTTCAGTCGCTGAGGAGCACCGCACAGCCGCCCAGGTGCTTCGCCCTTTAAGAGAGCGCCTGTCAGGTCGATTGGCAGGAGCATACGCCAGCACGAGCGTACAAGTATGTGTCTGGAACGGAGAGAGCCTGAACTCCAGACTCCAGACTCCAATTTCGGTCCTCCACCTCACCTCCAGACGAGGCCGGTGGTGGGATGGTGGTGCAGAAGGGGTTTTGAAGCGAACGGGGTGGAAAAAAATAGAAAAACGAGGTGAACTAGAACTCACTGTGCACCACCCTCCAACAAAGAACCGAACAGCGTGTGCTCTACTGTGAGGAGCCGCCCGATCACACAGCGACGATCACGTCCGCAACCTCGAAGACCACCCAGGGTTTGTTATCCCAACGAGGGTCTTCAAGATGGGTGATTTCATACAGCACCAGGCTAGTAGGGCTCGTCAAGCAAGGAGAAGTGGAGCCAGCGGGTGCTGCGGGGGATCGGAGGGAAGAGAAGGGGTCGCCGATGTTGATACGGAGCGCATCGAGGGTCACAAACGCCAGCCATCCACGAAGTGAGATCGAGAGAGTGAGCGCATTACAGATGAGATATGGCACACACCTCGAACAGAGCTTGAATGGGCACAAGCGGGTAGCATGTAAATACGCGAGGGTCGATGCCATGGTCATCTGACTGGAATGGAAGAGCGCGCGTCGTCGGATATCTTGCGGGATCCGCAACTTAGGCAACGGTCCTTTGTGTCCCCGTTTGCCTCTTGCCTCGCTGTCTAATCGTGCCTTCACAGTGCTTTGCAAACAAGATTGCAGTGCGAAGCGCGCAAATCCTGTTTGCTCCTGTTTGGTCACTCGTCGGCTACGGCAAGGATTTCTGTTTCGGGAACCGGACGCTCATAAGGACACCGTCCGTAAAAGCCGTGCTTGAGTCCGTGTCCGCTTTCCTACTGCAAAAATGCATGAGGATATTCTTTGCCTCCGAATGACGACCTTCTGAATATATCCGGTAGGTTTGTGGCTGGAAAATCGACCATGCTGCAAAGAGGCTTCCGGCATTCATCAGTAAACCTGGGAATCACTTAATGCCTCTTAAAATCGCCTTTAAGGGCATTAAGGCGCTTAAGATGGCATTAAGGCGGTCTAAGACGTAAGCATTAAGATGCTCGATTAAGACACTTTAAGACAATTAAGATGGGCGAGTGCAAAAACGTTCTGCACTGTCATCGGGCGTGCCGGCCTCTGTCACAATGTCTGCACAGGTTCCGATAGGTCTCTCACTCTGCTCCGCATGATCATTGGCACGTATGCCGCACGTTGTACAGAGTCGAGAGTGAGCAGCTGGAGGATATGCGTGGGAGAGCTAAGTGGCTTAAGGCGCTAAGCCATTAAGCCAATGCATGGTTTACTGATGTTGCAGGCGTTTCCCCGGGTGGGCAAACAGGGGCAAACAGGATTTTGCGTGCTTCGCACTGCAATCTTTTTTGCAAAGCACTGTAAGCCGATCTGTTAAATATATCCCTCTCTGGGCTTGCTTTATCACTTGAGTTGCGTCCCCGGTGCCAAATTCACCCATCACCAAACAAGCCACCAGGCCCACTGTCTCACAAACGTACAACACTTGTGAGCGATCCGTTTGCCATATGTTTAGCTGATTTACCCGATAGTGTTTTGTGGACGCCGCAGCTCCTTCAGGCCAGAACGGGACTCAAGGAGTGAAGGACCTGTTGAACTTGGACTTATCCGGTCCAGACTACACGAGGCTATGCGTCTCCTAGCACTTAGCTGTAGTCGCTTATGTAGTATGTTACCATATTTGGGACTCTCTGCTCGTGTACTATAGCTATGCTTCCAGACTCTTCTGGTACTGTCTAGGACAATCTGTACTACTCTAGAACGGTCTAGACAGATCTATACATGTGACTAACCACTCTTCAATTAGTCATGGACACTTCTCTGTAGTATATAAGGACTTCAGATTGCGTCCTCCCTCTTCAGTCTTTCCTTACTGACTGAAGAGTGAGTACTTCCTTACCTCTACCTCTAACTTGTAGTTACTTACTTGATCCTTTGTAGTCTTGCTTCGACTCTAGGTACAGTTGGTTACTGCAATATAGTCTTTCCTTACTGACTGAAGATCTTGCCTCGACTCTAGTCGGATCTAATCTTTGTCTTCACAGCCCCGAGTTTATCAGATGAGTAAGAGATGAGTAAGGCATAGATCTGTCTAGACCGTTCTAGAGTAGTACAGATTGTCCTAGACAGTACCAGAAAAGTCTGGAAGCATAGCTATAGTACACGAGCAGAGAGTCCCAAATATGGTAACATACTACATAAGCGACTACAGCTAAGCGCTAGGAGATGCATAGCCTCGTGTAGTCTGGACCAGATAAGTCCAAGTTCAACACCCCGTGTGCTACACCATGTACTTTGATAAGTCTGCATGATAAGTCTGGACAGATTTGTGTTATTACTTCAGCGTAACAGGATATATGGCACAGGAAGGAGGGTCGCACTACCCAGATAGTGATGGGTCACAATGCAGTAAAAATCAGTGCCCAACCCGTCAATAATCTGGGCAGGCGAAGCAGCATCTGCGAAGGTGAGAGCGAGACGAGGGGAGGAGACAACACAATCAGCTAGGCGGCATGGATGTAGGCGCCCGTATAGGATTCTCCCTTGCGGAGGCTGCTCGCTCGCTGCCACACATCAGGAAAACCCTCCCGCCGAAAAGTTCATAGAATAGGAAGGAAATGTCAATATACCACGGAAACTGAGGAAATTGGATATATATCCAGAGTTTCGAGTGCAAGCGGAGCATTCTATGAACTTTCAGATGAGAGTTCTGGCGAGCTGTCCGGATTTAGGCACTGAGCGCGTGCTGACCGCATGTCCACGAGGCTTCCATTTACCTTTTTGGATAGATTGGCGCCCGCTCAACTAGTGCCATCTTGCGACACCTTATGCACTTCCTTGAGATGCGTTCTAAGGTATCATACACGTGTCATTGTACTCCGTGTACTCACACTCCTCGAGACAAGCCTGAGCAACAGGCCTCTGTAGGTCTAGGGCCGTCTGACACCACTGGACGACATGACGTGCCGGCTGCCTGATTTAGACCTTGACTAGGCGCTGGTTGATCCGCGCCCGAACGCATCACCGACGCTGCTCGCCATCGCTAGCACTCGCTGTGCCTCCATCATCACCCTCTGTTCAGCTTCTCTTCCCCTCGACATTTTCGAACTCGTACAACTCACTGTAACGGCCGTGCACTAGCTCAAGACAGGACAGATAGAAGAAACACGCCCACATGACCGTGCTAGGCAGTGCTGGTTGACTAGGAGAGTGGCATGCGGACGAGCACCGAGGCTCGCAATCCCCAGGTGCGTGTCGTTTCCATCTTGCCCCTCGCTCTCCTCGCTCTCTTTATCCTTTCATTTGAACCAATTCCACCGCTTTCAGTGTTGACTGTGGCCTTCATCCTGTTTCCCTATTGTCGTACTATTCTTGCTACCCCAACCTTCGTATAATACATTCTGTATCGTATTGCACAAGTAGTAGCTCTTATGGCTCGAATATATCCCCTTTCTCCTGTCTGTTTTCCTCCAAAGTCGTTCTGAAGCGACTACTGTTCGTACTCCATCCGCCGCCGTTCAACTCCGCGCAGCTCGAGACTTCGGAAAGGATCCTTTCTGTCTCACCTGGAGGAGGAGCTATGCGCCTGGCAGGTGCTCTCCATCCTTGCAACTGAGTTAGAACATCCTGAGGATAGAGTAACAACAGCGTCTTGTAGAAGATGTATGCGAGACCATTTTCATGATTAGGATGAGGTGAGCACTCCGACGTGTTGGGGAAAAGATCAGTATACATTAAACAAGGTGGATAGATCTTTGTCCGTATTTACATAGAATACACTACACTTGTCCAAGACGTTCTCACTAGTCCAATCGGAAGGTACGGGCCCATTCCACTTGGGGGTGAGGTGAACGCTGCGCTGGATCAAACCAACAGGCACTACAGATACAAGGCGCTCACCATCCTTGTAAGAGCGCGACACCTTATAGAAACCAGAGTTCCTTTCCGGAGACGCAGAGAACTTCGAAAACCATTCAATATACGCAAGATGTCGAGGAGGGCGCTGCTCGGGTGGTACACCGGGAAAGTAGTAGTCGAGTGTTGCATCAGGTAGTGTGAACACTACACGGATTTGCCCAACGCGTAAGTCTACCACATTTGCATCAGTACCAACAGCTCGCTCCGAATGGTCCTACTCGATCTATGTAAAACATGTACTTATCTTGTAGCGGGATGGGGGCTTGACGTGCTTGTGATCGCATGGGCACTATAGACTCAGAATTAGCCAGCTCAGAGTGACGAACACAGATCAGTGCGGTGTCGAAACGAGCAGGGGTCACAATATCTTTGAGGGCACCTTCATTGACATGACGGGGGTGGACATGAATGGAATCACGAGTCTCCTGTCCGAAAATGTGCTCGTTCCAAAATTTGATGCGGTGATAGACAGGGAGGTGATTGAACGGAATGAGGGTCTCCGAGATGCGGCTTTCGAGTTGGTACGAACTGAGCGTGGGGTGACGGAACTGGACAACAAAATGGCAGATCGCGGGACCGATATGCTTCGCATGGTACCCTGTGGGAGACGTGAGCTCTTGAAGAGATACCGACTTCCGTATAGGATGTTGCGTCATCTTGACATGTAGCGTGCATGCAAGATCTGGAGGCTGCCATCGTTGATCATGGCGAGCTGCGAGAGTTGCTGGGCCAATGGAAACTTGTTGAGAGCGCCAAAAGACATAGCTATCATGATGCAAGACCTTCTCGCGACACTCTAGCCACTTGGTCATCTGCGGGAATTCATCGCGGTGGTTTGTCGCTCGATACGCGTCCTTCGCAAAATCGATGTGCAGCCGTTCCGAAGTCTCCGTGTTGTAGTTGTCAGTAGTGCCGTATAACTTGATGCACCGGACATAGTGCAGTAGAGCGTGCAACTTGGGAATATTGAAGCCAGAGCAGATATCGAGGTCGATGAAGACATCACGACTCTTGTGGAACTCGTAAAGACACTTTTCGAGTGCCTTGAGTGACGTGTCATCGTGGACGGGATACTGAGCCAGAAATGCGAAATGAAGGAGACTACAGGTGGTGCAGACCAGGCGGTCAGCATGCTTGCGCGGGAGGTCCATATCGACAACAGTGGAGAGGAGGAAGTGGCTGATCTGCCGGTGTTCGGCCCCAGTCACCCGGGAGAGACCAGTGATACCTTTGTAGAAGTTGCGAATGCTATGGTTGTAGGGTAGACAGCAAATGCGGGCATCGATCTCTGCGGCACCACACGCATCCTTGAGCCAGGAGAGGAGGTGTTTGAACACGCCTTGATATACTTGATGGAGGACGTCAGCGGTGACGGAACGGAAGATATCTGTGAATGGTAAGTCCTCCCAGAATGGATGTTGAACGGGTTTGATATTAGCGTCGTTGCACGCCTGGACAAACATGGGAGAATCAAGTGACTTGATTGCAGCTAGCGAGGCCTTCATGTCGCGGTACAGATGCGACAAGGGAAAGTCTCCGAGCTCGTCATGAGGGCAGGTACAGATTGGACAGTCTCCGTTGTAAGTGCAGGTTACCAAGCATTGCTCGGGATAGTCACCGACATACGCAGCAAGGATTGGGTGACAGCGACGTGCAACACCATCGCCACTGGTCATGATTGTTCCATGGGCACCTGCGGCTTTAAGGGGTTCGAGAAGCTTGGTCATGCAGGCATGGAACAGGTTTGCGAGGACACGGCGGCGGGCAGCTTTGTTTCCGATGTGCTCAAGTCGACTCGTTGGGAGGTACGCGAGAAGAATCTGTCCTTGACGACCGGGCTTCTGGCAGATGGACTTGGGGAGGTTGCCAATCGTCAACTACACAGGATACACCGTCTTGTTTCGGAAAAGAGTAAGTCGGGTTTTGTCGGATGAAATGATGACCGGGATGACGGTGGCACCCGGTTTTTGCTCCTCAAGTTTCTCCTGCGCTGTGCGTCAGTTTTATGCGTATGTTGTGACGACAATTCCATACTTGGATCGACCACCACCATTGCCCGGTATGCATGTCATGATATAGACGGATCTTGCGATCTGTGCCGGCGTAGTGGCGCTCGGGTGCAAAGCAGAGATAGCGAACATGTTCCGGGTCGCCATAGAGTGCCTTGATGCACTCCATGATATCGCGCGCATACATCTCAAAGCTTTCGCCCATGACGTGAGCCTCATGGTACTTGAACGTTGGGCGGCGTGATGGGAGGTTCTCATCGAAGATATCATGTAACTGTTTGGCGTTTCGGAACGACAGGCCCAGCTTGTCGACGAGCTGCAGAGACATCAGATGTGAGCCATGAGAAATTGGATGCAAGCTTACACCTTTGATAGTGAGCAGCTCTGTAAGAGCTGAAGAGCTGATGTCGTGCATATTTGCCCACCGCCCAACAGCCCAGTCCGTCTCCAATGCAAACGGCGCAAACATATTCTCCTGGGACCCACAAACGCGCTCGCCATACTTCCAGTATCCGGATGTGCGAACACGAGGCTCAGAGACAGGTGCGCCTGCTTTGCCTCTGAAGTAGCAAATATTTGCAGGAGCCTCACAAAGGCGTTCATGAGAGTTGGGCTCGACACCTCCGGGACTGGCGTGCGCCTGGGGGTCCTCCTCATCCTTCGGTAAATACTCTACAGTGGGACTAGGAGGTTTTGAATGGGATTGAGATTGGGCAGGGGTAGGGGGGGTGTCGACATGCATTGGCTCGGGAGGACGACTCGGAGCGAGTGGAGGGGATTGGGGCGGGGCAGGGAATAGTGTATCCAACCCCACCACTTCTTCATCGCCATCTTCTTCATTGTCACTGACCTCCGTTACGTCAGGAAACGGTCCTGCATTGAGTGGTGCATTGACAGAGTCGCCGTCACCAAAACCAGGAAAGTCGGCCGCGGTATAGTCGGCGCAAGTGCCAAAGAAGTCGCCTTCAAACTGAGCAGCAGGTGGCTCGAACTCTTCGCAAGCTTGTTCCGAGTTCACGTTGGCATGGGTCGGAGAGCCGGAAGGAGACTGCGATGAAGACGAGACTGAATCTGAATCACAGGGGGAACTCGGGGAGCGCGTGCCAGAACCCAAGCGACGACGAGGATCATGCCGGTAGGGTTCATGGATCTTGTTCAAAATGGATTTGCCTGCACGAAGACAGGCAGGGTCTATAGTCCTCTGAAAATGCTGGACATAGTAACCTTCACGACGAAAGGTTGTCTTGCAAGCTGAGCACTCCCAGATGGCAGACATCGACAACAGCTAAGGGAGATGATGAGATTTGAACATACACAATAATGGCGGTACAGAACAAATAATACAGACGGAAGTTGAAATTGATACGGGCGTCGGGTGCAACCCCAACAAATAAGGGCGTGGAGCCAAGCCGCCGCTGAGTTTGTCAGGGTCCATGCTAGGGCTTCAGTGTCGGGTGGACAAAGACATAACCGGTGGATACGCACTAACTGAGTCGCCATAAACAGTTGGCTTCACAACGCATGTTCGCAGTCCGTTGTCACGGACGTTGGACAGACGCCCCTTTTTGCCGCCCATTCCCCTCCCCTTGACGCCCACCTTCCATTTTCGGACCATTTCCTTTCTTAGCCCATCCCAGTTTGGACACTGCAGATACGTTCCCACACCCGCATGCTACGTTCCCGTGATCGCCATGCCTTTGCCTTTTCCTTCCCGCCCTTTGTTCTCCCTTTGTCATCTTCACTGCCTCGCTCTCGCGCCTTGTCTTTGGTTGCTAAGCAGCCCTTCTAGTATATAAGGACCCCTTAGGCACTCCCTAGTCCCCATCTCGACCTCTTGGTCATTGGGACTAGGTGAGTGACCATAGCGTTGTATCTCCCTCCGATTGCTAATGTATAACTTGGT